TTTGGTGGGCGGACTCTTGCGGGCATGGGGGGGCACGAACACGCCACGAAGAATTTCGTCATCGCTTCAAGAACACCATGTATCGTCCGAAAATGTGTTATAGTCCATAACGGGCAAGCACGCGACTGCGAATCGCCGGCGCGGGTGTAAATGGTGATAGCAAAGAACGTCGAGGCGTTCTATAATTCGGGTGATCAAACAATACACATGGCAAGCGCATCGGTCGCGCACGTCCGACCGAAAGTGACGAGCTTTCGCCAGAATTTAATCGAAGTGACTAGCTTTCCCAGAAATCAGCTGAAATGACGAACTTTCACGCTTTTACATAAAACTCACGAATTTTCTCATTCCTAAGCGAAGTAACTAAGTGACGAGGATGGGTACGACTCATGACGAGGGGAACCATGAGCTGGGCAAGACAACAGACAGATTGTGTTGTAAAACATCAGGAAAACAAGAAATAGCTGGATAGTGCTCTATAGTGCTCCATAGCTTCCATACAGAGCACAATCGCGTTTTTGATCGTTACCATATTGCGCCGGCGATTGATGGCAACTTTCGAGTTGTGCTCGATGCATGTTTTATGAAGCAAAACTGGAGCATTTTATTCATTTCAAGCTGGAGATCGAAGGATAGCACAGCTGGCTTGAGTTCTGTCACTTAGCTTTTAGGTCTAGATGCCAAAAGCGTGTGTGAGGAAGCTATCAGACCAAAAATGAGGGTGATGTCTGATCGAGAATTCCCACCTATGGAGCGCATCACCTAGGTACCGCCACCAAAATTTAGTGGCCAAATTGGCCGGAGGAAAATTTTGGCCCTAAGTTCTTGTATTTTCACCCGCCAGTGGCCAAATCTGGGGGTAAAAAAATTTCGACCTCCTTCAGTTTTGACTTAAATGGAAATCCCTCTGGTAGAAATGTTCACGCAATCAAACTGAGCACTTTTACCTGAGATAAGAAAACCGAGGAATTCTGCGCCCGGAACATCCGGATCAATTTCAAGCATCAAGTAGCGGCAGCTAGGTGATGTGCTCCATACCTCTTGACCCGGAGTTCACCAAGTTCATCAAATTCACGGTGAACTTGGTGAACTTGGTGGACTTTCTGATATACGTATGTTCTCCCTGCGCCCGCGTCCAGGAAGTCGTGCGCCCAGCAGGTCAGGTCCGTGTCGGCGTCGTCCAGGGCAATCCGCGGGTCTTTGGGCATCGATATCGCTGGCGGAGGCGTCAGCTCGCGCGACGCCGTGTCGTACGCGTCCACGGCGAACCGGGAGCCCAGCGCGCTTATGCCGACCAGGGTCGGAACAATATTTATACCCCCCGTCATTGACCAACGAACCGAGCGCGTCACGCATCTGCACGTCCGCCACCGCGCGGGCCGCACTTCAACAACGCACACGGGGTACTTGGCGCGTTTGTGGATGCGGTGCACGACGAATGCGTGGCGGTCGGTGCCGTGGTGGACGGAGGCCCGGGGCTGCCAAGGAGGGCTGAAACTGCACTGCAGCGCGACTTCGTAGTGCTCGGAGGGGAAGAGATGTCCGAGCAGAGTGTTGAGGGGTCCGTACCACTCCCACTCTTCGGGCGTGGCGCGGTCGAATAGGTCGAATCGCTCGGAAACGTACTCGGGGAGTGGCATTTCTGTTGTCGTCAACTTCAAGGTTTGCCATTAACTTCAAGGTTTACCATCAACTCAGTCAAAGGTCTGAGTTCAACGGTTCAACAAAAAAAATGCGTTGCTCTTTTTGTGTTTACTCTCGCGACCGGTGTTATCGTGTGCTAACGCCGGTTCTTGTTGCCCTCTTTTTTTTTCTTTTTCTTCGGCGCTCTTGCTTTTACAGCTTCCTTCTTTAGGCAGATATTGTGGCAGTGTTCTCGGTATGAGCAAGGTCCGATAACAACGAACCAAACTCGGACGGCCGCCATGGCCAATGGATCGCAAAAGTTGCAATGTGTCCGCGAAAATCGTTCCAGAGGCGCTACGCCTCAGCTCGAGTCGATCGACTGGGGGCACGAACCAGGCTTTATAATTTAGCGGGCTCTTGCAAGTGGAAGACTCGGACTCTAGCTGCAACTGAATTCAAAACTGGTCGGATGCACTACTCTTCTGCCGACAACGAAGATGCGGGGTTGCAAGACAACCCCCAACATCGCATCGGGAGCTATCCTGTGCCCTAATTTGGAACTTCCTCGCGGTCGGTGCTCCCTCAGCCTCCGCGTGCCAAGGATTTTGCAGTGATTCCAGTTCCCTCCCCAATAATAGGGTGTTTCAAATATCAGTATACGCGTATTTGGACGCAACTTGGGACGTAACTTGATGCCCAACTTATTTTCGAATTGCAACCGAAAAAACATCCCAACTTCGAAGTTGCGTGTCATGATTTGACACGCAACTTCATGCCCAACTTTATGCCCCAACTTCTCCCATTTAATTTCCATCAGCTGTTGCACTTGCCGGAGAAAAGGTGTGACTCAAGTTGGGGTCAAGTGGGGCATTGAGTTGCGTCCCAAGTTGCGTCCAAATACTGATATCTGAAACGCCCTAATCCAAGCTACATCCGATAATCTGAAGCAAATATTAGAGTTTAAATCCACTTTTCATCTCGTTTATGGTTTAACCCAGCTCCAGATTTGTGTTGGAATCCAAGTCGAGTTGACTCCAGACCTTTCAACCTCGAAGCGTCGGCATCAAAACTCGCGCACCAGGACAGCCTCAGGTTTCTCAGCTCCATATCGATATACGGAATCTATCCGCAGACATCAATGCTTATATGCGCTCTCGACTCTTCTCTCGTCTAGAAACTATAAAAGGACATCACAAGAGAGACCTACTCCATAATCTTCCACTCTTACGTCGAACTCCTCTACATCGCCCAAGCTCAACTAAGTTCAACATGTTTAACAAACTCTCTACTCTTTTTGTGCTTGTGCTGGTGACAGTCTCTATCGCTCGCCCAAGTGTGAGTTGTCATTTACAATTTTATTTCCTGAACAGTTGACTCACTATAAATTTTTGGTAGCCGCATTTTGAGACCACAGAGGAGCCCGCTCTCGAAACTCGCACTTGCCCAGGCTGTGCGACAAGCTTCGGGCCCACCGAAGAGCCCGTCATCGTCGAGACTCCTGCCTGCACGATTGTAGAGGACTGCTTTGAGACCACAGAGTGCCCAGGCTGTGCGACAAGCTTCGAGCCCACCGAAGCGTAGCTCAGACCCGCTATGCGTAAGTCCTAACATCATTGGAGTGACTTATCACCCTCATACTTAAATACTCATTCCCCAACGCAGGTCGTCCTCCGCCGAAACTCGCGCCTGCACGATTGTTGACGATTGCTTTGAGACCACAGAGGAGCGATAGGAAGTTTAAACTAATCGCACTGTAACCCACAAGTGACAAAAACCATATATATAAATCATTTACTTCAAGTTGGCGCTCCGCGCTTACAGGGAATGGTTCCATTTGAGTTTTATAAGTCCACTCCGCCCATACATTGGCACGGTCAAAGCGTGTCGTCAAATCACTGGCCTCTTACCCCCATGTCCGCTGCGGTCGACCGCCTCTCGGAGCTCCTCACCCAGACCCTCCGCTAAATAATGTAGTGGCTTCTACGCGTCGGACCTCGGGACGCTGAGCCTCGAGCAGCTGGCGCGGTTCTACGCCAGGCCGGACTCCGGCTTCATTCTCTTATCAGTAATATGTTATGCCTATCACTTTTACGGCTGCAGCCCAGAAAGCCTGCGCAAGAGCGCGGACAACATCCAGCGCACGCTCCGAGTCGGGCCAATCAAGAAGTTCGATTTGTTCGAGCCATCGCGCATCGACTCGCGTGCGGGGATATCAATCAAGGACTGTTGAGAATTGTCGACGAACGTCAGTGAATGAATTTGGTTGTACCTACACATGGACATTTTGCAGATGACAAGGCCTGGTGAAAGAATGGGAATTGGGATATCCGGCGATCGTAGCCGGCATCACATCCGGCGGCGATATCCGAAGAGCGGAGTTTCGAATAGGCGGGACCCCTATATGTGCTGGAGAGCGTGTAAGAAGAGCATACCATTGGGCACTAGTAAGCGCTAGTGAGCACCTGCTCCTGAGTTGTGTTCATTGGAATGATGGTGAGCCTAAGCGGAAAATTTGATGTCGAACATGGATGCCAAAAATGGGCTCCAATAAAGATATAAAGGTGCCTCGAATAAGGGCGCATCACAGACAAAAGGGTGGCTTTGTCAGCGCGCAATAGATCATTTCCGCCATCCGGCGCGTCGTGTAGTGTTTATTCTGGACTTGTTCTGGACCCTGGACAAAATTTTGTGATCCGAATTCCAACTGAATTCCAGGTGACTTAAGTGGATTATAGTGTAATAAAACGCGTCAGGGACACGTCCTGTGCTTGCTAGTCGCTCACGACACTCCCCAAACGCGCTCAAATGAAGCGGCTGACTATGTACCCTTGTTTGCCATCGACCGCTGATCTGTGATCCCGGACATGATCCCGGACACAATCGCCGGAAATCCCATTTCCCATTTGTCCTCAAGGCCTGGTGGTGTAGTTGGCAACATGTCTTCAAATGATATTGACGAAGGTTGTGAGAGGAAGTTCCTTGTTCGATTCAAGGCCAGGCTGTTTTCATTTCCAACTTTGATCTCGAATACATCGATTCAACGACGGCGGATTTGAGGTTTTGTCCGGCTTGGTGGTGTAGCTGGGAATATGTCCGACCTCAGCGAGCCAATAAAAAAAGTAAGAGGAAGTCCTTTGTTTGAAACACGGTTAGACCTTTCATTTTTGTTATGGTTCGACATGGGTCAAATTTAATTATGCAAATTTCAGTGTGACAAAGGTAGTTGGAAACACGTCCTCTTCGTATTCAAGATCTTCTCCAAAAATATGAGGGAATCCCTTGTTCGATTCAAGGCTAGACCCTCCATTTTTGTTCTGTTGTTTTATTGTTCAACCTTGCACGCATTCAACTCATGGATTTTGTGTGAATAGTGAGGCCTGATGGTGTAGTTGGAAACATGTCCTCTTTATGTATGAAGTTGGTGTCTTCTTCAGAGGAAGTTCCTTGTTCGAATCAAGGTCAAGCTGTTTCTTTTTCTGCCGTTTTGAAATTTATTGTTCAATTGTTCGACATGGATCTCGCAAAGTTACAGTATGACAGGGTCTGGTGGTGTAGTTGGAAACATGTCCTCTTCATGTGTAGTTTTTTCCGTTCTGCATAGTTTTCAGAGGAAGTTCCTTGTTCGAGTCGAGGTCAGGCCGTTTGTTTTTCTACCGTTTTGAAATTTACTGTTCAATTGTTCGACATGGATCTCGCAAAGTTGCAGTATGATAAGGCCTGGTGGTGTAGCTGGAAACATGTCCTCTTCATATCCCCAATATTTGTAATGTTACAAGGAAGTTCCTTGTTCGAATCAAGGTCAGGCCGTTTGTTTTTCTGCCGTTTTGAAATTTATTGTTCAATTGTTCAACATGAATCTCGCAGAGTCCCTGTATGGTAAGGCCTGGTGGTGTAGTTGGAAACATGTCCTCCTCAAGTAATGGACTATCAAATACTTTAAAGGAAGTCCTTTGTTCGAATCAAGGCCAGGCTAATTTTTTCTTTTGGACAGTTCAGTTGTTTTTTGAAAATCGCACTGTTGGCGTCGTCGTCGGGCCTCGTTGTTCATTACCGACGACGCGCCCAGTTTCAACTACGTTTGTGCCCACACAGTGCTCTTCAAACTCGAACTCGAACACGGCCGATGCCGAATATGCCGACATCAATCACCGGCTCTCGGTCCCGCGCGATCTGCCGGGTGATATACAGTTTGGCGGTGCTTGGTTTGTTTTGCTGACTCGGCAACGCACAGCCACACGACACTCACACTCGACTCCATCCTCAAGGTAGCGTTTCGTCGTTGTCTCTTTTTTTTTCTTGTGCTGACGAAGGTGTTGTGTAGACATCGAACGGACGATGGGTGCGCTGCCTATCCTTACTGAGACTGGATGATACTGATTTTGTGCTTTTTTTTTCTTTCCACTACTCGCTACGCTCGACCCTCGCCACATGCTCGCTGACGCCCCCCAGTCAATCTCCGCTCACAAAAACGCCTCGCCGCGTCCGTCAAGGGCGTCGGGCAGCGCAAAATCTGGCTGAACCCCGCCGAGCAGTCCGAGATCGGGAACGCCAACTCGCGCGCGCACGTCAAGAAGCTGATCAAGGAGGGGGACATCATCGTCAAGCCCACGACCGTGCACTCGCGCGCGCGCACGCGGGCCCTGCTCGCCGCGAAGCGCAAGGGGCGGCACACCGGGACAGGAAAGAGGAAGGGTACGAGCGAGGCGCGTATGCCGACGAAGGTGCTGTGGATGCGCCGTCAACGAGTCCTGAGGCGGCTGCTGAGGAAGTATCGGGAGGCGGGGAAGATTGATAAGCATTTGTGGGTTTTCTTTGCTTGAGAATTTTTTTTGGGTGCTGATGAGGGGACAGGTACCACTCGCTATACCAGAAGTCGAAGGGTAATGTGTTCAAGAACAAGCGGGTGCTGATGGAGTACATCCACAAGGCGAAGGCGGAGAAGAGCCGCACCAAGGTGCTCAGCGACCAGATGGAGGCGCGCCGTGTCAAGAACAAGGTGCGTTTGTGTTTCTTTCTTTCTTTCTTTAGTGTGCTGACGATACTTTCCTAGGCTGCCCGCGAGCGCCGCGCTGCGCGCGTGCAGGAAAAGCGTGCCGGGTTCCTCGCGGTGGAGGAGGGCGCAGTCAAGGAGTAGATACATGCTTGTCATCCGGTGTATCCACTACTTATCTCTTACCCTATCCTCTTTTTCACGACGACCATGATGCATGCATGTCCTTTGTCAATCCTATGCTTTCCTCCATGCACCCAAAATTGTGGAAAAAATGGGGCCTATCGCAGAGAAACACGGCCACCAGCTTCATTCCAAGCAGATCACCCGAGAAAGTCACCCACCGTTTTCGATGCCGCGCTTTGTGGGGGGGCAACGATGAGTCCTACTCAGCCGCAACTTGTCGAAGGGGGGGCCGTTTCTCAAACATAGCTTCAGTAAACAGCTTCCTAGAGGAGGACTCGTTTCCGAGGTTGCTGAAATGGTACGTTTTATTCTTCTACGAAAAATAGGCCCGCCTGCTGTCGAGTCATCGAGCGCCCGGGTTTCAGATAAGCTATGATGTGGGACAATGGCGAGCGAGCGAGCGTAATTTTTTTTAAACGTGGGTGGACGCTCCCCTCCTTGTCCGTACATAGTCAATTATATATTTTTCTCCGTTGCCTGCAGTATATATTCCCCTTCGCTTGTAATATTTTTCTGGATAAAAAAAGGCGATTCCCGGATATGGATAAACCAATTAAGGAAACTGAACACGGTCATGCTGATGCCTGTGCGGTCTCTGCTTCCTCCCACCTCCTCGTCCTCCCTCCAAAACTGCCCTCCCGCCCAGCGATACCACCCACACAAAACACTCTGCGACGCACCCCCGATGATGTCCGCCCCGCAGGCGGACCAGGGCGACACCGTGAATCAGAATCAGAATCAGAATCAGAATGGCCACGATAATAATAATAATAATGCGACCGATGTCGCCCCGACCACGACAGTCTTTTCGTCCCCCGCGTCGCCGTTCCAAAGGTGCGTTCATTGCTCTCGCTGTGTAGTATGAGCTGACGACGGGACACACATGCACAGTGCCTCCCCCGCTACGCATCTGCCGACGCCGCAAAGGTGCGGTCTTTCGGCGACACTGGATGTAATGTACTCATGGAATGATGTTATGCATACAGCCCGGACTACATGGCGCACTACCTGAACTTGCAGGCAGCCCCCGAGTCGCCGCTCGCCCAGCACACAAATCCGTGCGTCGTCTTATCTCGCCCCGCAACCATCCAAGTCCAATCTCACCGTATCATATCATAGACAACAAGCCTACATGGCGTACCGCCCCGCGGTGTACACGCTGCCCGTAGCCATGTCCATGTCCATGCCACAGCAGAAACAGTGCGTCCGCCCCATTATGCGCCCACTGTGGTATTGACTCTCCTGCAGGAACGCACGACCGCCTCAGCAACAGACGCTGACGCCCGAGACGAGGTGCGCTGCATGTCCACTTTCATCCCTTCCCTTTGCAGTGGCATTTACTGACATTATACTTGCGCTCCAGTCCCTACACCCCGCGCTTCGCCAGCGCGCACCCAATGAACTTGGGCACAGCGATACCGATGCCCCAGTTCAGGTGTGTATTCCTTCCCTTCCCTCCCTTCTTTCCTTTCTTGCTCGCTTGTACCAAATTCTGACATCCCGCCCAGCCCCCACCCTTTCGTCGACACACCCTCCACCCCTACCGCGCCGCCCCCTCCCTCCTCCTCCACGCCCCCGCCTTCCTCACACTCCGCCGCCAACCCCAACCTCTCCTCGCCCTTCATGGACCGCCTGTCGCTCGCAGACCGCTCGGCAGGCGTGTCGCTCGCGGATCGGCCAGCGGGCGTGGCGACACCGACGCCCGGGAACACACCGACGCCCGGAAGCGGGGATAGGACGCCCACGAATGCGAACGGGAAGAACGCGCAGATCCCCATGCATGTGGACGATATCTTCACCTCCTCCTCCACGTCTTCGCAGTCGCAATCGCAATCCCAGCCGCAAAGCAAACCGCCCGGCAAAGGCCCCGCGCGCGGCGCCCAGCCGCAACCCCAGCCCCAGCCATACTACCCCATGTCCGGGTCCCTCGCCTCGCTCTCCATGCCGTCCATCTCGCCCCCGCCTGTGCACCGCCCCGGCCCCGGGCCTGGTGCAGCGTACCCTGGCGGCGCGTACCCTGGGGGCGTGTACCCCGGCAGCGCGTACCCTGGGGCGTACCCCGGTGCATATCCCGGCGCGTACCCCACCACGTACCCCGGCAACAACGCATATCCCGGCACCGCATACCCCGGCAACAACAACGCGTACCCCGGCACCAACGGCGGGGGCATCCCGCTCGCGGCCCCCACGCCCGTCGCGCCGCCGCCCGGCGGCGAGATGGCGCGCATCCGGCAGGGGCAGCTCGCGCAGTTCCAGGAGGCGGAGGCGAGGAGGCCCGAGTACCTCGTTCGGGCGCGGAGGCCCGTGTCTCCGCCTCCTCCTCCTCACGCTCAGCCTGGGTACCTCGGACAGCCGGGGGCGGGTGGTGGCGCGGCGCCGCACTCCGCTTTGGGGGCGCCGCCGTCCACGCCGCCGCCCAAGTCCTCCTCGGGCGGGAGTGCCAACAAGGGCGCGGGCACGGGGATGAAGGGGAGCAACAGCCAGGACGCGGACGCGCGCGCGGGGATCGTGGACAGCCCGCATAAGGGGCGGCGGATTGCGCTGTTTGAGGAGACGAGGGAGACGCGGCGCACGACGCTGTTCCAGGAGACGAGCGAGGAGAGCTTTGAGGAGAGCTTGATGGCGGGCGGGTATGGGCGGTATGTGAGTAGGCGGTTTTTTTCTCTCTCTCTCATGTTCTTTTTTTTCTTTTCTTTGATGGGGGAGGTTTTTGGGGGGGGCGGGGCGATTTCTCTCTTTCTTTTGGGGCCTTCGCGGTCTCTCTGTGTGGTTGTGGGGGGTTTTGGCGGGCTTTTTTCTTTTCTTTTTGGGGGTGCGGGCTTTGTGGTTTCTCTCTCTCTCACTAGCTGCGACGACGCTGGGACGATTTCTCTCTTTGTGGTTTTTTGGTTGTGGCAGGCTTTTGGGGGCGATTTATCGCTTTGTGGTCTTGTGCGGTTTTGTTGGAGGGCTACCGTTTGCGTACAAGTCGTGTCCCCGTCCGCATAAGCGGGGACTCGTCAAAGCCTCTTCGGGGCTTTCTCCTTCTCCTTCCCTAATGCTACAAGCCTTTCTCTTTCTTCCTCTCGTTCCTCGTCACTCTCGTTTATTCATAATAACTGACTCTGACTCTTCCTACAGCGAACAGCCGACTGGGTCCGCCAGCCACAGCCCCTCCCGCTCACCCCCGGTCCACCCGGACCCTCCAAAACCACCCCGCATCCCGCCTCCCAGCCGGCACAGCACCCCTCCCAACCGCCCACGGAGCGCGAGCTCAGGAAGCGCCGGCGGCTCGAGGCGTTCCGCGCGAACGAGCTCACCAACACGCAGGTCGGGATCGTGGAGCGCGAGGGCACGACGGGGGGCGCGGGGGCGTATGGGGCGGGGAGGAAGCGCGGGCGGCTGTACCCTGTGCTGATCGAGGGCACGGGGCGGGTGCTGATCGACCGGGGGAGCGAGGAGAGCGGGTTTGTTGTTGAGGTGCCCGGGGAGAAGGGCGCGGCGGGGGTGGGCGCGGCGGTGGTGAAGCGCGTGGTGGTTGTGGGGACGGGGGGGAGTGCGGGTGCGGGTGCGAACAGCAACAATAACGCCGGTGGCACGACGCCGAACGGCAAGAAGGGCGGTGGGGTCGCGGCGGGTGGTGCGGGGAGCAAGAAAAAGCCGCAGGAGCCGAGCGCGCGGGAGAAGCGGGCGAGCGCGATCGCGGCGGCGTGGCTGGAGGACTCGGCGGACAAGCCGAACTGGCCGGATGCGGAGTTCCCGTGGCGCCTGAGGAGCGAGGAGCGGAGGGAGATTTGCAGGGAGGAGGAGGAGCAGCG